ACACACACACACACACACAGAGAGAGAGAGAGAGAGAGAGAGAGAGAGAGAGAGAGAGAGAGAGAGAGAGAGAGAGAGAGAGAGAGAGAGAGGTCCAGGAAAACCCTTATAATAGCAATGTGCTCGTAAACGTATCATAAACCGATCCATGCGGAGATATGAATGCTTACCTCAGGGGGGATGATGGCGCGTGCAGGAGAGCGCTCAAGAAACGAGTTCGACTGTCGAACACAAAACCCAATCCAGCGGGTAGAGACATGTTAACGGAGCTCGCCAGATCGACTCTCAAGTGCTGAACCGTCGAGACCGTCATGTTCGGAAGGCATTTCGACGCGGACCACACTTCCCGCATGTCACGCGTGATCTCAGAAAGTGCCCTCTTTTTTGGGAAAGTTACAAAATCTCCCCAGGAGGAAACCATTGTGAATTCGTTTCCCCCTAAACGGGGCAAAAAGTGTCCCAGGTCCCACAATGACTTTTTGTGTCATTTTTGGAACCAGCCTGGGCTGGTAACGCCCGGTGTGTAACGCCCCCTGTGCCAAAATGGGGGCGCGGGGAGGGGTTTCATAACTTTTGCGCTTTTTTTGGCGACAGCTTCGAGCTGATTGAGAATAATTTTCTGGGAACAAGCGGCCTAGCTCAGCTGGTTAGACACGCAGGCGGTCGTGGGTCGTGGCATTCAGGTGGTCGTGGGCTCAATCCCACTGACCGCATGCACACGCTTTGTGCCAACTCCGCCGTGGGTATTGGTAGGGTGTTGGCCATCACGGGTGTGTGTTTGTTGTCAAATTCTCTATACTCTCAAAAAAAGCATGACTGTGCCAGACTGTTTTGTCGGACTTCCACCCTGTGTCTGTGTGTGTGTGTGTGCTAGTGCTGGCCATAGAAACTGCTGTTACTCTATGGGGGCAGGGGAAGCAGATGGAAGGTGCGCCACTGGCAAAATGATCAGTCCCCACCGCCTGCAGCCTCATGCTACTCCTTGACCACGGCCCACTAGGGCCGGGGGCAACATGCATCCCCTTCATTGTGAGAGGTAGCTAAGTTTGCAGGGTCCCTTGCATAGTCTTGTTTTTGTTTTTTTTAATTACAACGGCTAATTCTTTTAAGCCCAACCAAAACCTATGAAGTCTGGACAGGACATTGTCCTTATAGTATTACGAGGAACCCGGCAGTATCCACATCCATGTTCAAGCCTCCAACGAGGGAACATGCAGGAGCTACACTCACCAGCAGGTGTGAAACCTCCTACAGCAGGTGTGAAAACCTAATGTTAGGGGCACCCAGGCAGATAATCTATGGCCACATCCATGTTCAAGCCTCCAACGAGGGAACACGCAGGAGCTGCACTCACCAGCAGGTGTGATACCTCCTACAGCAGGTGTGGAAATCTAACGTTAGGGGCACCCAGGAAGAGAATCTATTCTA